TTGTAGGAAATTGCAAGCAATCCGGCCCTTGATTGTAGTAAGGCCATTGTTTTGTGCTTTCATGCTGCGGCTTGTTTGGATTTCTTTACACCGATCGTGGGTCATCATTCGTGATAGATGGAACTGTTTTGGTGGAACTTTTGCACATTTGGATGAGAAAACTGTGATTAAAATGGATAATCCACTGTAAAATAAATAAATAAATAAATAAATAAATAGTAGGACTGCCTTTACTGTGCGATCCAAGTCCTTAGAGAAGTTTTCAGTGTGCTAGCCAGGAAATTGTTGTTGTTTCCCATAGTATGGTGAAAACTGCAACAAGTAGATAGCAGAAGAAGAGGAGAAATCTGGATGAGTCAGTCTAGGGTAAAGGTAAAGTATGGCTGGGTGTCATCAGCATAGAAATGGTAGATCACAGGGGTGAAATGGCAAATAATATGGCCCAACAGATACAAACCCAACACAACAGGACCAAGAACTGAGCCTTGTGGAACCCCACATGACATGAGGGCAGTCAAAAGTCACGTTAACCACTATTTGACAAATACAATGAACACCGGTTTAGAACAGTTCCACCACCGCCAACCCAGTTCCTGAATCTGTAGGGGAAATAGTCATTTTTTTGGTTGCTCACTCTTATTATTTGCTTATGCAGCAAGACAGCCAAGAAGAAGTACACGATGACTCATATAGAGTATAATAAATGTTTTTATGGAACCCTCAACTAACTACAAATCTGGAATGTTACTGCTTCTTTAATTCCTGATGAAGATCACTAGATAATTACGATTTAAAATACATGAGATATGTAACACATGAACGTCAAAAGTGAATTGAGACATCACACTTTGTCCATCCAGCCTTTAGTTTGTTTACTTTGGCTGTTGGTTCTGGCTCAGTCCTGCATTGTTAAGTAGTTTGTTGTTTCCAGAGCTCTTCAGAATAGTTTTTATCCCAAGAGTGTTTAAGAGTCTGGACAAGAGATTCAACTAAATCAGCAGCTAAAGCTAAATCATATACACTTCAACCAGTAAAAACATGCAGATTCTTTAATATTACATACAAAAATCAACACATTTTATGCTGTTTATATGCTTTTCGGTAAAAACAGAATGAAATCTTCTGGTTGGTTAGAACGTGTTGGTTGTATGTGATTGAACGGGGGTTGTGCTGATAAAATGCATCCTTATGGGAACAACTGCTGCAGAGAAAATGGAAACTATTAAAATGATTAATTCCTGGATTAAACGCCAGTTCTATGTGTCTCTAACAGGCTTCTTTATGGGTTGTGCATGGGGTGGCGAGAGTTTCGTATGTGGTGGCCACCCCTTGGCTCCACACCTGAAAAGGTAAAGGTTGACCTCTAAAATGAGTGAACTGCAAAACAGTCAATCAAATCTATATCCACATAGACCAATTACAAGACATGTGAACAAGAGAAAGGAAATCAAAGACAGACATTGTGAACCTCACCAGTGCCGGATGAGAATCCAGGACGGTTAAAGTTGTACTGTTTCACTTCATCATACCAGCGGTCGGCCACATCCTTCCCTGCACGTACACAGAACAAACACGTGGAACGAGGAAAACCGAATCAGTCATGTGTCATGCATATTAATCAGACTGATAGCGATGTGAGAAGACAGAACTCTGCAGCTACAAATCCCTCTTGGGCATATGTTGTTTACAGTGCTGCACTTCTTGTCACCCAGTTCTGCGCTGTAGATGTTTTATGAATCACTTTGGCCTGTGCTGACATATTTCTGCAGTGAGTCATGATATCTGAAGTGGAGGGGAAATAGATCCCAGCTGTTCACTCGCAGGAGCTGGCAGTCAGCACCGAACGTCTACTTTAGGCTGCACAGACTAAATTATTCTATCTATGGAAGATATCGTGTCTCATTGTCTCTCAGGAAATCTCATGGGTATATACATACAGTTTCCTAGGACGGAACACAGACTTACACTGAGACATGGATGCAGAGTCACTGAAGCTGTGTATGCACTTTTTTTTTTAGTTTGTATAGTATGTACAGTACAGCATCAAATTATTCATAACAATGCCAAAGTTTGATTTATAGTGAATTCTTATTTGACCATTAGATTCCCCGAGGCTGGAAGTGAACTTAACAAATGTCAAAAGTTGGTAAGACGTTGTGTTGGAGATGTTAATGATAAGTTATATTAAACATTCAGTATTCAAAATTATTCATACGCTCTCTCAGTAATTAATGACAAAGCTTTTATTTTCCTCCACATCAGTCCAACAGCTGTTCTAGTGTCTAACAGTGTTTCTGGGATTTAGTTCCTCCAAGTGTCCATCTGCATCTCTGAGCTTGAAGGCTTCCTCTCCATCACTCTGCTCTTCAGCTCCTCCACAGGTTCTGGATGGATTCAGGTCTGGACTCTGGCTGGGCCGCTCCAACATCTCCTCATTGTTTCCTCTTCACTGTTTCTTCACCACTTTGGCTGCATGTTTCACATCATTGTCTTGTTGAAGCTCCAATGCTGCCCAAGGAGCAGTGTTCCTGCAGACCTCCTGATGTTCTCCTCTGTTCTCATGAAGCCGTTTCCTCTGACCAGGCTGTCTGGTCCGTCGGCTCAACAACAGCCCCAAAGCATCACGTTCCACCACCATGTTGGACCGTGGGGATGCTGCTCTTGGCCTTGAATGCTTCTCCTTTCTCTGTGTCCAAACATCTCCATGTTCATGAAGTGATGAGCAGCAGCTTTCTTCTTTGTCTTGGAGAAGTGGATCCTCCTTGTCTCCATGGAGACCAGCCTTGTTGTTGGTCTGCTGGAGTGTCTGATCAACATGTTGCTACCAGAACTGCTCACATTCATCAGGATGCTCTTGGTTCTGGTCCTTGGGTTCTTCTTGGCCTCTACCATTCTTCAGCCTTTTGACATGTTCCACAGTGAGGAACTCCTTGGACTTCTTCATGATTCTTTGCTCTGTAGCCACTGGAGCTTGAAAACACTTGACTTTATAGCCTCTAAACATCTTGTGAGCAGCAACAATATGCAGCTCTCTTTTCATGATGGACCCAAACAGCAGCTCACTGCCGGTTTTAGTCATGACTTGCAATTGACTAGTTACTTGTTAGAGAACTACTGCATGAGTGTGAATAACTTCGGTAATGGCATTTTCAGTAAAATCGTAGAAACAGTCATCTCTAACACAATGCTTTAATATATTTTGTCACTTTTTGTGTCATTTCCAGCCAGAAGGAACCTACTGATCACATGAAAATTCATTATAAATGTGGCATGGGTATGAATCACTTAGCTTCAACTTTACCTGTTTGGTCATAGGAGGCCCACGCCAGGTTCTCTCCACAGCTCCCTCTGCTGGACTCCACACTGTGCTTCAGGATTCGTGTGCTGGCCAGACTTTCAGCATAACTATGTTTCGAGACAAAGAAAGTCAGACTGAACAGTGCTTAAATAGTATTTTGTTTTCTTTTTTTTTCCCACTGTGAATCCTGATACAAGTTCACTTCTGCACTGGAGGAACTACTGCTGTTAGTGGTGTGCATGTAAAGCAGAAGTCTCAGGTTTTTTTTTTAGCAGCTTGTTGCAACATGCTGTCATCCACTCCAATAAAACCAGCAAAACAGCCTTAGCTCAGAGGTGTAGTCTAGTGTATGTCTGCGGTGCTAACACAGAAACCATCTCCTCTAGTGCTGTGTTTGGTATTTGGGTTGAGCTGATTAAAAGATTCCTACTATATTTCCATTAGTGTTGTAAATTTATACGTTCGGTCTGCACAGTTACAAGGAAATCCTTTTTATCGTTATATTGTAGTGACATTATTTGAGAAAGGCATCGAGGTCACTGTAATTTATAATCTGTACTGGATTACTTATTACAGGCACAAGGTTCATCATCTTGGCTCAGCCGTAACTGAATCATATAGGCTCTCTTTTAAAAGACTTTATTTAAAATCTCATGACTGCGTTCGGACTTCAGTGACGATGTGGATTAAGTGCACTGGAGATTCCACTTTAGTCGAGCTAATGAGAAGCTTCTTGGATGAAAAGAGAAACCTTTTCAACTCCTGACTTAACAGCAGTGAGCTTTGTCACTTATTTTTCCTGAATTGTGCTCTTAATCTATGGGTATGGGTTGCTTTTGAATATTTTGGAGGGAAATAATAAGCAGAGGGTCTTTACTTAAAACTCCGAGAGCTAAAAACTTAATTTCAGGCATCTTGGGGAATTTTCTGCAGCAGTTTGTGGCCTTTTTCTGCATCAGTTTATGTTGGAAATGTTCTTATTTATGTAACGGAAAACACAAAATTCATGCACCAGGTGCCAGGTAATTCAAAATATAATGGAATCTAATGCAGTATAATGCTCTCGAGCGTCCTGTGCTGCTTTCTAATATCTATTCCCCTGTAGATCAGCTTTTCTAGTTTAACATGGTCCCTGCTGTGTCAACACATATACAGTAATTTATTGGGGGCGGGAGGCAAATGCCATGAAATCTCCTTCTATGATGCCCAGATTTGCAGCTTAACCTGCCTCTTAAACTGGGGGGAAACAGCTTTATTTGTATAATCAGCTGTTTTACACGAAGGGCGAGGCAAAAACTACATTCTTGAAGTTTAAGGGAACTGATTGTTATCTCCAAAGTCAAACATTTACCATTATTATGAAGATGTACTTTAAAGGCATTGAAACAAGTGTTTTTGATCATTACATGTTGTAGTTGAAGCTCTTTTCTTCTGGTATAGACACGTTTTAGTACATTAAAATCAACTGAATCAACTGAAGGCATCACATAATTAAAGATGGCTTTAAGCTCCCTGTTTCAGTTCATTTGCATACGTGAGCAAATGGACTGAAAGACTGTTACTTGGGACTCAGGAGGATAAATTATCTTTAGTTTATTTGGTTATAATGATTTGAACAGTCTGGCGGAAATGAAGCTTCATCCAAACACCATTTGAATAAAATGTTAATGCAGCTGCAATTAGCGGCAACAAATTGTCAACATAACCTGCAATCACAGCGAAAACAAACACCAAAGACCCCAAGATATCGTATTATATTTGGCGGTTATTGCATATGACAGGCTGTGCTCGAACTGTCAGCGTTATCCAGAGCAGGCTGACAATGACTGGTGTGCGTAGTCCCTGCTAATTAGGTTTCTAATTTGATCTGCGTGCGCATTAACCCACCGGGCGGCCTCTCTGCTCAACTTGCTGCTCAGCTTCAGCGGAGGAGCCTGGTGCTTCTTCCTGTACTCGTTATGGCAGCGCAGCACCTCCTCGGCGAACTGCTTTGAGGCTGAGCGACAGAAGAGGACAGAGACAGGAAGAGTCAGACATCCTCTGACAAAATCTGACAGAAGAGACACGCTGATGCAACACCAAGACTCTGTGCAAACTCGAGTTGAGGCCCGCAGACTTGACGGACCTCAGACATCGACTCGGCGACAAATGATGGAGCAGAAAAACGTCACCCAGATCACCATCACCTCCCCTTCTCCTCCTCCTCCTCCTCCTCCTCCTCCTCCTCCCCTGCCTGGTGCCTATCACTCACTGGCCTTTTCATAAGTCCCACAATCTCTCGAGTGCCGTGCACAATAGGCACATTCAAAGAGTCGCACAGAAACAACAGAAATGCCCATGCTGCTGGCACTTACCGAGCATGTGGCAAGTTGCGTCTTAGAATCAGCACCCCCAAATAGGACTAGGGATGGAAAAATATGGCAGAAATTTGATTTATAGTTCTATTTGTGCTCTGTTGTAACCCCATATTATTCATTCTCAGGCCAAATTTAGATTTTAGTGAAATTTCATGTGATTAATAAGTTTCTTCTTTCTGGAAATTACATAAACAAGACAAAAAAAAGCATGTTTAAGGTGCAAATGAAAGATTTGAAGATCTTCTACTTTTTTAATGACTTTTTTTTTACTAAAAATGTAATGTCCACAATTATTCATACCCCCACAATTGTTGCTAATCGTTCAGAAAATGCAGTTTTAATACAATTCTAAATGTTCCTGGTAATTTCTACCATGTTCCAGAGCATTCTAGTGCACTATAAAGTGAGAACAGCTGATGCAGTAGTTCTCCAGTTTAAGACATGACTTAAACCAAACTTCGAGAAACCTTGTTGCTGAAGGTTTTAATTGATGAAACGATGCTTTAAAATGTATGCCTTCCAGCAGCACGTGGCCAGTGTTGATTGGTTGTAGAGTTAAAGCCCCTCCCTTTTTAGGATGGCTTCTCTTTGCACCAAACCATTCACCTGATGAAGCTGCGGCACCAAAGATTTTGCAAATAAATACAATTTTTGCAGCGGCCAGGAGTCTGTTTGAAGCTTTTGGAAGTGCTTGTCCATTTTCTATGCGCCTGTCTCATGAAATAGATTTCTATTTTTGTCTATTGCTGCTTCTTGCAAGACCAGCTATGAAGGCATGTCCAAGTGTTTTTAAGTGCCAGCAGCCACAGTGCAAAAATAAATTCAGAAAGCACAAGGAGGTCCACACTGCAAACTCTCAAAGGGCTGGCAGACTACAAAAGTGACCAACGCATTGGCAAAAATGGTAATGCAACCACGGAGGGCTATCCTTATTCTGCTGTGGAGAACCTCAAAAATCCTTGCCACAAAAAAGGAGTGCAACCAAGTCCCGATGGAGACGTGCAAAAAGACCAGGTGAGAAAAATGTTGGACTTTTTCGGAACTCTAAAAAACAAGTCCACAGAAAGAGTTAAAAGTTTATCACTTACATCTCAAACATAGCGTATTACTGACTTTTACCACTCAAATATGTCATTTTTGGCCACAAAAAAACCATTGAAGTCTTTTAACTGTTCAGTAAAGCAAACAAGCACACACTCCTGCACGCACACGCTTTCACAAGTTCAAAGTTCCAACTTGGGCAACAATCAAACAAGCCCACAATCAAAGTTACAAGCCTCGGGCTGCAGTGTCCACTTACCTGATTTTCCCATGGTGCTGACACAGGAAACCTTCAGTAAGATCAGTAACAAGCTGGGCACAGAGTGAAAACAGCCTCTCCTCCTCCCTCTCTTCCTTCAGCGCTGTCTACCTCACGCTCACACAGTGTTTTGTTTCAGGCCTTTTACTTTCTCATTCCACCTCCGAGTCACAGAAATAGTGTAAAGTTCCCCTTCAGCTGTTTATCTGGATGCAATTATTGTTGCGCAACATGCTTCTTCCTCAAGTTTGGTGTCAGCTCATTAGACCTGCCGGTGTCTGTCGCGGCCACACGCCCTTCGTAATCTGCATGCCCTGCTTCTGTCTATCTTTGTGGCTCAGGGCTGCACACACCCTCACTGTGTCTTCCTACAAATGAAAGGGGAGCCCTTTCAGTCACCGCTGACATCATCTCTGTGAGACACATGCCCTTATATGGCTCTGAGGCTCTTGCATTCTTCTAACGTTGGTATCCGTGGTGAACGTGGCAACTGTGGTCCGAGGCTTTTCCCACCATCCACGCTGACATGATGCAGCGTTGTGTGAGCTCACATGCACAATAAGCTCCTTTCACTTTCACTGCGGGGGGGTGGTGGGGACAAACCTTCCACCTTCATCTTCCAGTTTCATCGCTGACTTCTGGGTCAATAAGTTATCCCCAACTGAAAATGAGCGATTCCTCAATCTTCGTCCTCGATGAGGAGGAAATGATTGAGCAATTTTCCTCCTGCGGTTGACACACGGGGAGAGGCAGAATCACTATTCATCATGCTGCAGGACGGGTTTCCACTGTTTGCTTTGTCTACATGAGGCATACCACCTCCAGTGCTTTAATGGCATTCCTGAACTGAGATATTTATCATTTAAGAGAAAAAAACACGACACCTGCTTCGACAAAAGCAAGCGTGGTTCGCAGCCAAACCCCAAAATGGATCACCTTATATTTTACTGTACATCTCATAACTCAGCTTGTGAGATTGTCTCTGGACTTTTTGCACAGGCTACAGCTTTTTACATTTTTTTTTTATTTGCCTTAAAAAGAATGGATACCCTTTTGCACGCTCCGAATCGATAGGACTTCATTGTGTCAGCAGCAAAGTGCTCTGTTGAAACTGCTTAATGTGAAACACTAAATGCTGAGTCTTGAGCGGCTAATTTCCCAGTAGTGAGTTTACTCTCGCTTTGTCGGGCTTGAATGCATCAAGGTAAATACAGATACTGTGGTAATATCAATTAGTGCTGAATGTCAGTGAACAAATGTCGATGTAAGCAGCAAAATATCTCAACAGCTACCGACTGGATTGTCCTGAACTTTTCTCAATTTGGTGTCTTTTTAAAATTCTCCTCTGGCGCCATCATCTGATACTTTGCTTTTGTAAATCAGCATCTTCAAAACCAAACCACATTCAGCTGTATTTACCAATAATGCTGCCAGTTGTCATTGCGAGCATGTTGCCATGACTGCGTTAATGTTTAAAGCACCGCTGTGTAATTTCACAGAACCAAGGCAGCAATTTAATACCGTGAATAAAATAAATCCCGCAGACAGTTTCATAAATGAGTCAGTGATTAATCCTCGGAACTCGGAGCAGTTTCTGGCCGTTTCTTTGCTGCTGTCACATTTTTACTCGCTGTGGGCTCATTTTTCACTGCAATATGAAGTCCTGCACCTCTATGGAGGAAGTACAAGTAGCGAGAACTCAAAAATGGCCTTTTTTTTGAGTTAGAAACGCCACAAATGATTAAAAAGAAAACCCTGAAAACCCAATACTGGAGAGAAATGTGACTCCATATGCTATAGATCAGCTGTTTGTTTAAGGATTATTTACATTTTTACAACCTCTGCATTTTTCACATGACTCTGCATCTCAACGCTAGAAAGATGTTTCACTGTGCAGAATGTACGTAGGTGCAAAACATTCCCAGCCTCACTCGGAGGTGCATAACTCTTACTTTGAGGCATAACTTTATATTATAAAGCCTTATGTCACTGTTCACATGAATGTCTGGACTTTCTTTGCAAGGAAAAAGAAAAGCTTAGGACTGATGTACTACTGCCGAAGGACAACGCGTCCGTCTGCTTGTAGAAGTCAGACGATGCGACATGTGCCAGTTGGGTGAATAGAGTTCAACAGTTCAAAGTCACGTTTGGCTGCTGCTGCCACCTGAGCTGTGTGGACGGACGCACTGTCCTGAAACAACAGCAGCCAGCTCAGAGCTTTCCTTTATTCTATGATTGCTTCGAACATTTGAGTTTTTGTGCACAGTGGTAGAAGGAGTGTGCAGTTACCCCCCAAAATGGAAGGTACGTCACTTGTTTCCGGGCGCTGCTGAGAACTTTTTAAAGTACCTTCATAGAGCTGCAGCTACCAATTAGAAATTACTAAGAAGTTCCCATCGGTTTCCCAAATCTTGAGCTGGTATCTTGACTATGTTGTTCTGTTTGGTGGGTCCAAGAAGAACTATTTTGAAAATGGTTCCTTTCAGACACGATTGGGGGTTCTTTGAAGATCTGTTTGAAGAAATGATACTTTGAAGAACCTCTTGCTAAAAGATTTTTTTTTTTTACTGAAAATGGTTCTTCTACACTCAGAAAAATAGAAGGTGCCAACTGGAACCAAAGGTGGTTCTCCAAAGTGATGCCACAATAAAACCATTTTTAAATCTGCAAAGAACCTTTCAAACAAGAGGTTCTACAAATGGTTCTGTAAAGAATCCCCAAAGGTCAAAGGTCATCTAGCACGGTTCATTTAGGCACCATAAACGACATTTCAAAACTTCAGTGAGAGCAGGTACTTTAAGGAACCATTTTCAGGATATTTCTTTGTGGAGTCACTGGATTCACTAAAGAACTGCTTTCAAATTGTTTTAAAGTCATTTTTTAGCATAAATGTTTTTTTTTAAATTAAATTATTGAAAAACACGCAAATGTACATATTGTAATAGAACATCACTGACAAAGAAACTTAAGGTAACACAAAATCTGTCACAGTGAGGTGGAACATAGAACCCATAAAACCTTAAATTAACTCGTGGATCCAATTAAAAACCAAGAAACACTGAATGCATTCGACAGCTACAGATACATTGACTTTAAGAGCCTTTATGTGTGAACTGTAAATGTAAGAATTGAACATCCATCCATCCATTATCTATACACCTCTTAATCCTCACTAGGGTCATGGGGGGCTGGAGTCTATCCCAGCCGACTTAGGGTGAAGGCAGGGGACACCCTGGACAGGTCACCAGTCTATCACAGGGCTACACTTAGAGACAGACAACCAAGCACACTCACATTCACACCTACGGACAATTTAGAATCACCAATTAACCTCAACATGTTTTTGGACTGTGTGGGAGGAAGCCGGAGAACCCGGAGAGAACCCACGCTGCACGGGGAGAACATGCAAACTCCACACAGAAAGATTCCAGTGCCCCCACCGGGACGCAAACCGGCGACCTTCTTGCTGCGAGGCAACAGTGCTACCAACTGCGCCACCTTGCAGCCCCCAGAATTGAACATTTTCATTATAAAACATTGAATATTTTGGGTTCTTGGTGAAAAAGAACAAGATACCATAAGGAAGCAGATGATTTGGGAAACCGTGATGAGCATTTCTCCCTGTTTTCTTGTGACTGATTGTGAAAATAATTGAAATAAGTTTGATTTACTTGCCACCAAATAAAGTACATAAAGAAGCATCCCCCAAATAAAGAGGCTCTTCAATCAGTGATGGTGACGTGAAGAGCCCTCTGAAGATCAGTTTTTTTCTGATTGTGCGGGATCCTCTCAAGTGCAATCCTCTGCTTCTCCACAAGGTGGGACTGTTACCAAAGACACCAGAACGGGGCTCCACGGCTGCACTATTAGTCACACTAAGTGCAACTAATGGCATCTTGGTTTCATAATATGAGTGGACATGATGGGATTCATGTGAAAAGTCAAGCCACTTGATTTCTCATTAGCCGGATAGTGCTATCTTAACAAATTGATTTCCTCCTTGCCTCCTCCTACCATCTGCACAGCGATGGGGCCGGGCAGCTGCGAGAAGACATTTACGTAGTGGTCTCGAGACGCTGGAACTTTGCGGCCATACATCTTAATTCATACTAATTGAGATGGGCTCGCCCGTGTGTGTATTTGTGTGCGTCTCCGGTGCGAATGTGTGTATTGGCGCGCACGACGCAGGCAGGCAGAGTGGTTTGATTTATAGAGAAGAGCCCCTTTTAGAGGGACAGTACAGACATTGATCCATGCAGATATTACATCATTTATCTCTGCACATTGGCTATATCTGCTGTAGTTATTGCTTGGCTCCCCTCCCTGTCAGCTGTGACATCGTTCCTTCACTTCTCCTCTCACTTTCTCTCCATCCATCCATCCATCCATCCAACTTGTAATTTTCCTTCCTTCCTCACCTGAAGCCTCTAATGAAAATCCTCCAGCAAGATCCCGTATAAAAAGAAAAGAAATTTCTTCCTGGGCCAGAAATAATTCCCCCCTTCCCCCCCTCTGCTCCTGTCATTACTGTGGTGGATGTGGATTTATGGCAACAGAAATGTGAAATAACTGTAACTGGGGCTGTAAGTGCACTTAGTTGCATATAATTCCTCTTTAGCGGTCCCAGGAGGAAGGTGAGGACTTTTTAATAACTCCTTCCATTCACCTCCATCCTCATTAAGAGGTCTAGTTGAGTGAAAATGGAGACAACTACTGAGGGGGTGTTGAGAGGATTGATCTCAGCTGAGAGGAAAAGTGAGGGGGCTGCACTTTTTTTTTTCGAAAGGGAGTTTGTTGGAAGCTTCTCTCTCTCTCCAGAGCGGCGCTCCAGAAATTTGACACATCAAGAAGTCTTTTATGGTGTCATTAGTGCAACTGTTCCACCGAGGACAAATGATTCGGCGGGTTAAGAGGAGTTAATCACCTGCCAGTCAAACCTCATCAAGCCGCCTCTACGGATGAGGCGCTGTACAAATCTCATCATATTTGCGGAGCCTCAATTAAGCAGATACGGGCAAGGAGAGGAGAGAGAGTGACAGGGGTGAGGAAAGAGGGAGGGCGGAAGATGGAGGGAGACAGTAAGCAGAGCTGGACGACTGCTTGTCTGACACTAAGCAGCAGAAATGTAATGTCTTAAAAGGCCATCGTAGTCAATAAAGTTCCTAATGTGCTTAAAGCAATTACTGTGTCCGGAGAGGAGCAGAGTGCATGCAGGATATTAACCTCGGTAACCCGCTCTATCTGCTCCATAATTAAATTATCCTCACATCCTCATTCTCATAAAGACGCGCACACTCAAGACGCGCACTTATGCAGCCATGCATTTATG